TTCTTGATAACAAAAATGTTTTCATTTAAAAAATGGCCAATTTTGGGTCAGGATATGCATATTTTATCATCCTGAGGAAGTTTTATATCTCTTTCTTTGTTAATGTTTATTTATTTAGTGAGTGATATAAGCTGAATGTTATCAAATGCCTTTTCAGCAACTATGAAGATAATTATATGTTTCTTTTTAAAAATTTAATATTGTGAATTATATTGGTAAACCTCTTACTGTTGAATTATTTTTCTTACTTTTAGAATCAAGTCTAATATATAATGTTCTTGAAAAGCTCAATTATGTTTGCTGTCATTTATTTCAATTTTTACATCAATATTCATAAGTAAGATTGAACTATAGTCTATTTTTAATTATTTTTGTCATGTTTTATAATTCATAAGTTGAAGCTTTATGGAGCTTTTTCTCTTTTTCTAGTTTCCTGAGCTGTCAAAATTGCATCGGAGTGATTTGATTCTCCAAAGAGAGAAAGAATTCCACTAGGCTTGAGCCAGTTGCTATTATTGTAGGTTTATGCTTCAAGCACATAGCCACTGGGCTAGCAATGTTCAATCACGGCAGTACCCATTATATCACTGATTATAGCTATAACATTTTTAAATGTTTAATGAGAATGTTTTTATTACTTCCATGCACTCTTTCTGGCTCTCAGTATGCTCTTTTATCATAGCAATCTGCTCTTATTTTTGCTGCTGTATCTCTGAAATTTTATCAAAACTAAAAAACAGATTTTTTGAAAAATGTTTCTCACATTTCCTCTGCCTCAGTGGGGACATTTCCTCTGCTTCAGTGAGCGATAGTTATTTTCCTTCTCTTTTGAAATGGTTGATTCTGCTCATGGATTCAGTCATTATTGCTTATCTTTATCAATGTAGGTCTAAACAGTACTCCAAGCTGATATAAATTCCTTCAGCACTCATGGAGGTATGAATACATAGCTCTCTGGGTGTTCATAGACCAGTGGGTGACAAGCACACCAGGGCATGTCTTGTCTTTGGTGTAAGTGGGCCCACACATAAGGTCTTCCCCTCAGGAAACAGGAGAATGACTACAGGGTCTGGTGGTTTCTCTCTGGATATAGTATGTGTGAATAACCTCTTCAGTATGTTACATAGGATTCATGGGGCATTCTGAGTCCCTCTGTGACCATGAGTCCTTTTGCAAGCTTTATTTTAGGTACATTGAGTAATATCAAGGTGGGGAATAGCTTTTGTTTCTTTTGTTTCATAGTTTCTCTCCCCACATTTATTCTGGTAATAACTTCCTTTTTTCTTTGACAAAATCTTGTCTAATCCTCCGATCATATTAGGGGTTCTGTTTGCCACAGAAACTTGTATATATGCAAACATACATAGTCACAATAGTGAGCATGTCACTAAGTTCATTGTGAGTTTTGGTTTAAAAAAATCTTTCATGAGAACTCATCAACGTGGCCCTCACTGACTGGTTTGAAAAGTGAACAATGATCCAAGCCAGGTCAATCAGAGCCCTTCTCTGAAAGTTTTTTGAAGGAGATCTAGGCTGGTAAATCTGTGAGGAGGTGAGCTTAGAGGATGCGAATTTCCAGGCCCTCGATCATGTGGATAAAAATTAGTAAGAGAAAAGGAGATGACGTGCTGGGAGAGACAGAGTTCTGAATACTTGGTTCAGGTAACAAAATTTTCTGGAGTGTTCTGGTTCTTGCTTTCCCTCAGCTGTTCAGTTCTTGCTGTAATTCTGTGAGCTACCTCAATAAATTTCCTTTTTGCCCATGTTAGTTCAAGTTGGAGTTCTTTTATTTTAGCCGAGAATAGAGTGTGTATGGGAATACACAGACACAAAGATATATGTATCTCTCTTTCATCTCTATTGTCTCACGGAATTCCAGTTTTTCAGTCTTACCGCTTTCCAAGACTTAGGCAATATTTTTCCTTCTACATTCACTGAATCACCTCAACAGGGAGAGCAAAAGGGGCAGAGTCAATTGTGATGTTAAGATCACTACCTTAGAGATACACACACACACACGTGCGTGCGCGCACACACACACACACACACATCTGGGTCCATATTTTAATGTTAATTTTCTTTCCTCCTTTCTTTGTGACTCAGTTCATATTGTCTTCTTTCTCTTCCTAAAATATAAACATATTTTTCCTTAGACCTAAAATTGGGAGATAGTGAAGAAGCTCAGCTTTTATAGTAGGCATATGATACAATTTCATTCTGAAACACTATGTAATCAGTCATTACTACCACGAAAATGTTATTTTGGAAAAAATGTTGAATGTCTAGTGACTTTAGCAATTAAGTTTTTGGTCTTGGACCGGTCATAAGTACCCTCTCAGAGCCTGTATGATCTGGGTTGACATTCACATCCTGAGCCGAGCTCCTGAGCAATTCTTGCACTTTGATGCAAGTCAGTTATTTACCAAATCTTTTCCATATACCCTTTGACTTCAATTTCAGACTTTCAAAAAGTATTCCATGATTTAGGAGGCGAGATATTCTCCTTTGCTTTTGCTGGCAAGGGAAATCTATACTATGAAGTGAACCACAACCTAAAGTATTGTCTTTGTTCCTGATCAAAACTTTTTTTTCCCAAAAACCTGTGAGAGGCCAGGTGCCATGACCCACGCCTGTAATCTTAGCAATTTGGGTGGCCAAGGCGGGTGGATCCCTTGAGGTCGGGAGATCAAGACCAGCCTGGCCATCGTGATGAAAACCCACCTCTACTAAAAATACCCAAAAAATTAGCTGGATGAGGTAGTGAATGACTGTAATCCCAGCTACTCAGGCAGCTGAGGCAGGAGACTCACTTGAACCCAGGAGGTGCAGACTATAAAGAGCCAAGATCGCACCACTGTGCTCTAGCCTGAGCAAGAGTGAGACTCTGTCTCAAAAAAAGAAAAAGGTACAAGAAAACACAATAAGGTTAATCTCTTTTGATAACAAATTGAGCAAATTTTATTGAAACAACTTTATTCATTGGATATTCTTATAATCGGTAATAGCATCTTTTTTTTTTTTTTGAAGGATAAAATACACACAGCTGATTAAGTTTCAGTGAAGTTTAACCAGCTTTTGGGATTAGCTTGACCACCTTTAAATGCACATCTCTTTCTTGATCCCTTTCTGACAATATCTACACACTTCTGCTTTTCCTGTAAATACTGACCAAAAGAATCTTTCCATTGACTAGCTGTCTCTAGATAGTTGCTGCAAGTCTAATAAAAAGAAAGCTAAAGTATGCCTATACCAAATCTGTCTGCGACGATTGCTCTAACACACTGTAAAACTTACATTGGGAGGAAGAAGGCAGGCAGCCTGGGTTTCTCTGCCTTTCCCTTACATGCTAACAATGGCCTCTATTCCTGCACCTCAGTGCTTATACTCACCTCCAGATTTTACATGAGACTTTTTTCTTGTTTACAACTCCCTATATTCTTTAGAACTACCACGTCAAGCCCCTTCCAATTAATTTCTGAATGCTGAAATTTCACCTGTGTAAAAAAGTCTTTCCTAATTAACCTCAGTTGGTTCTGATCTCCTACTTAGCAGCTTTTCAGAAATCTCCAACACGTTACACCTTTGGATGCATCACCTGGTCTTTCACTAACTTGTTCTCTGTGCATTTGGTACGACTCCCAGTTGGCTGCAAACTTCTTTGATGCATCTGCCAGCCCTTTGGTGGTAATAATACTAATACTAAAAAGCTAACATGCAGGTCTTATTACGCTCCAGACACAATGCTAAGTAATTTACTGGCAGAATATTTGAATAGTGTCTGGCACATAGTAAGCCATTAATACAGGTTTGTTATTATTACCATTTATAGCCCAATTAACTTGGTATTATTATTATTCCATTTCAGGACAAGAAAGCTGTGAGGCACAGAGAATTACATAAATTGCTCAGAGTCACAGAGCTCATTACATGGCAGAAATAAAACCTGGTACCCATCTATTTGACACCAATACCAATAAATGTTCTTAATCACTACAAAAAACTTTGCTAAACACACACACACAAATCAATCAATCCTTTTTGCAATCATACCAGTGTCAGAGCAGTGTAAGTTGTACTCAAGGCAGGTTTTACCAAGGAATTCTTTCCCCTTTTAAAATGTAACTGTCTTGGAGATATAAGGAAAAAGTCACAAGTATTTGTATCTCCCTGGAGATTTTCATTTTGAAATTTAGATGCCACTGAAATATGTGTCCTTAGGGAGAACAATGAGTTTTTCAAAACTTCTAAGTTGCTAAGGAACTGTGTTTTGTGTTTTAACTATTAATATGCTATTTCAGTCAGTCACCAACATGTCATATTTGCTTTAGTAGAAAGAGCTAGGCCATGTCCAGGGCTGAGTAATAGTAAAAGTTTATGAGTATATTGCTAATACAAATAATTGATAATACAGGCTCAACGGTGATCATGGTATGCATCTTCTTACAGTTATTTTGAGTACATTTTCATTTGATGCTCACAACTGCTCTCTACTGTAACAGCTTTTCTCCTGGTCACGCTGTGAAATTGTAGGGAGAAATGCCCACTTCTGCTGCTGTCTCTCCTGAGTTCTGAAGAGCACTTTCCCTTTCCTCCCATCTCCTTTTCTTTTTCTCTTCCTTCTCCCTCTCATAGGCCACCCTGCCCTTTTCTTCCTTAGCTGTCTGAGCTTTCTTGAAGGGAACCAAGGGTCATAGATCCAGGTCCTGAACCCCTCTGAAAGCCTCCAGGGTCTCTGGAGAGCAGTCAGGTGACAGACTCAACCCAACCAGGCCCAGTGCCATAACTTCCCACTTAGGCAGCGGCACAGCGCCCAGATCCCATCCCTGGAAGCTGCAAAACCCTGGGCTCCGCCACAACCAGGCATAACTGCCTCCCTCCAGGTTTCCACTCGGGTGAATTAATGTGCTTGAAAGCGACTCCAGATTCAGGAGGCGCGTCGCGGAAAAACGTGTCATTTAGAAGAAAGTTCGTTTCCTACAGAGACTGCAGTTGGCAGCTACAGCCCCAATCGGTGGCGAGAAAAGCTCCCCACCTGGGGAAGCGAGGCAGCTCCCTAGTGCGCTCGGCGGGGAGGACGCGGTGGCGGCGGGACTCGAACTCTGTCGTCGAGGGGCGCCCCACAGGGTCCCGTCTAATGCCCGGAAGGCGCGCCGGGTTGTAGTGGGAGGAAGCCGGTGTACACAGCTGTCTTCGGTCGGGCTCAGGCTTCCGCTCCCTGCCTGCTCCCCTTTCCAGCCTTCCGCCCCAGAAATGATCTCAAGCGTTGCCAGCTTGATTCCAGAGCCCCACTCGGTGGGTTCTTTTGTTTCTTTGTTTTAATGACAGTTCCCAGCCCTTCGGCATGTCATGAGCAATTAATTCCCTGGCTCTCACGAAGGCAGCTGGGGTGAAATTTCTTCTGCATCATCCTTTTGGGGATAATTGTTTATGATGTGACGTCAGTCGGATTGATTTTTCTGTCTTGAATGAAGAGTGGGAGGGGAGAAAGAGACCGAGAGAGAGAGACGCACAGATGTGCACGGAGGCCACAGACACTGACATTTGGAATTCCTTCAGGGTAAACGGAGATTGGAATGTGAGCTTAAAAGTGTACTGCTAAGATTTCAGGCTACACGGAATTATTAAGTTTTTCTTAAAAAAGAAAGAAAGAAAAGGACGCTTCTTCCGCAGCGAGCCACTTAGGTGCTCCTTTCACGCCAGAGTCCCCTGTTAAGGTGGCAGCGCCTGATAATTAATCTCGGGCACCCAGCCGCCGCTGTAAGCTTAAGGAGACGACGAGGAGGGGCGGGGGAAGTGCGTCACCAGGTGGGGAAGGGGCTGTGTGTTCGGTGACAAGCGGGAGGCAATGGGGGTGGAGGGGAATGGGGACGGGAAATAGGTTCTGTGTGCTCTCCGGGGGTATTGTGTCAGGAGATGCAGGCTGGCTACCATGTGACGCGGTCCAAAGCTGAAGGGATTGGCCGAGGCAGCGCAGGCGGTGCAGCTTGGCCGGCTTGCCGTTCCTCTCCCTTTCTCTCAGCATCTTCCTGGTAGCCTGCCTGTAGGTGAAGCAGCACCAGCAGCATCCATGGCCTGGCTTTTGGGTTAACACTTATCTCCTTTGGCTTCGGCAGCGGACGGAACAGACCTCAGCAGCGGCGTGGTGAAGACTTAAAGCTGGGACCTGGAATCGTATCCTCCTGTGTTTTTTCAGACTCCTTGGAAATTAAGGAATGCAATTCTGCCACCATGATGGAAGGTAGGATGCTTTCTGCTGTGGTTGACGGGCTTCAGGCAAGGTTTGAGCAGAACAGCATTAAAGAATGTGTGCAGCCAGTGTATCTGGCGGTTCTAGAACCTGGTTGCCAACGTTTTGCAAGCAGAAATGCTGCAGTTTGCTTGCAATGGATCTGGGCTCAGACTAATGGAATCAAACCACAGTGCTGCTGCTTAGCTCAGAACCTACAGAGCTCCCAGCTCCTTTGAGAGAGAAAACCTTCAAGTGTTTGCAGGGAGCTGAGATAGAGCTAAGGGAAGAGCTTGCAGAGCAAATAAGTTGGGCGAGAAGATAAGGTTTTCTGTTCTGGGTTCCTGGGACTACACTGATTAAACATTTACAATGGAAACTTGTTTTCTGAAATTGACATTAGACAGGAGAGGTCATTAACAGAGTTATCCATACTGTCATTTCAGTACACTGTTTAAAAATTCTCATAAGGTATTTTTATCTCTGCAGTTTACATCAAATTATTGGGATGGGGAGGGCAGCAAATTTGGTCCATAAGCTGTAGTTGTATGAGAATGTCATTGCAACAGAACAACATAAGGAAAATATCCCGGCCTCTTGGCTCCTGATTCAGGGTCTTATAGAATTTTGTGCTCCCTAAATCCTTTCCCTGTCCAGTGGTTTTTAGCCATGCATCAAATGATTACTTGCTGATTATCTTTGTGCATTCAATGTTGACTGTAAGGAGGAACTTTCCCTGGGGAGATGCTATTTAAACTATATTTTATTCTACTAAATTACCCTTCCCAGCCTGAAATTGTGACAGCCAAGATTGTCTTAAAACAGCAGCAAGCTGATCAGGAAAGAAGCAAGCAGCTCTATGCAGGCTTTGATTTTCTGTTTTCACACTACAGGATGGTGCAAAACTCCTGGCCTTTCCTAAGATGACAGGCAGAAATTTGTCCCCAGCCTGGATTTCACACTGCAGAATTGAGTGCATAATGGGTCTCAAATCAGCCATGAAAATGGCAGAGAGGCCACCTCTTAAGCCAAGGTCTGTCCTACGGATGTTAAGTATTCCTTAGGAATTTACCAAAATGGAATAAGAGGAGGATGGTTTTGTAAAAACAGCAGTGTAGCCTGTACTTACTTGGCAGAAATGAATTCATTCTTTTTCCTCTCCCTGTCATCATGTCAAACATTGTTAATGTGATTTGAGAGAGTGAAGAATTCTAGAGTCGAAACCCACAGATTTTAGAATATAGCCTTAAAAGAGAGGTTGGGTGTGATTTTGTTATGGAGCTGGGTCTTGTTTGCAAAAGGCTCTCAAGCTAGTTCTTAAATCCAGGCCTAAATAAATTGAGATTGCTAACACTCTCAGATTCAATCATTTTCATAAATTCAAAATGGATTGTCTTTGAATAACAAGGCAAGAGAAACAGAAAGATTATTATTTATGCACTTTTCAATTAAAAGCTCACAGAGATTATCTTTTTCAGAAAAAAAATCTTGCCTATAGAAGTACTGTATTTATTCAGCTCAATTTCATATAGCATTTCTTAAAAATGCATCTGCACACATTCTGATTAGATTTCAGTCTTACATAGAGAATTAGATGTTCTTTCTTTTTGCTTCTTTCATTGCTAACTATGGTACTAAAGTATCTTCTTTGAAGGTTGTAACATTTTCTCATGCTCATTAATGATTCTCCTGGTAATATGGTCTATTGTGCCATCCAAGAATGTCAGTTCAAAGCCCTGTGATAAGCTTATCCAGGCAGCCTAAACCAAAATGAGAACCACAACAAAGACTTGCGTTGGAGCTGAATTAGCACTATTGCTCTGGGTTTGCCAAATTTATCTAATGGAGGATATTATCTTAGCACTGGTATGAATTAGAGGTGACACTATGGATACAGTTGTCTGTCAACTGATCTTTGCAAGAGAAATTGGACAGGTGTTCCCTCTGGCTAAAATAGGTAAATGAAATTAACGTTTATTTCTAACCATAGTTCCTACTTAAATGTTTTTAAGCCTTATTATCTTAATAGCTCAGTGACCTTAGAAAGGCAAATAGTAGCCTAACCAAAAATCAATTTGCTACAAATGGCCTTCCAACTTAGTTGCCAGTCTTTTTGGCAATATGCATTCATGTTTCTGGTATTGCATGGCAGAATTTCACCTCTGAATTGCTGTTATTCTGAAGGTATGGTATATCACTATTATTTCCACTTATCTCTAGAGATAACTAGGCTCTGTACATCTACCACAATAACCTTGGAAAGAGAAGGAACCCCATAAAAGGCATCCCAAAATTGTCATGGCAGCTCTTTGTTGAAACATCAGTGGACTCTGAGAATGTGCCACCAAATATCTAGTTAAAATCATGCTTCTACTCAACCATTGTGTCTCTCACACACACATAGAGTCATCCACACAAACATATTTCTGGAGAGGGAGAAAACATATAGTTGCACTCGTATGAATGTACATTTCTATACTGCTAATGTGTTTTAGTCTGCTACTCAGAAAAAGCATGGCCATGGCAGCTTTTCAAAGGCCCTTCTTGACTTTGTGTAAAGCAAGAGCAAGCAGGCATTCAGCAGAATGGGTCATAGTAAACTACGTTTTGTTTGTGTGGAACAGGATATAGGCTCCATTCATTCAATGCCCACTGGAAATCCATCTTTGTCACAGATGAGGAATGTTACTACCTCCTCAGTGATCCTAACATCATGGAAGTCAAAGAAATAATTCCCCAGGGACCACAAGCCTGTGATCAGTAGTTTGTGGCTTCACGGTTCATTTAACATATTTTAATTAAAAAATATACTTTTAAGGAACTTGATTTGCTGCTTCCTGAATGCTTTTATCTTTTGGCAGTGGTTGGCATTGAGTTATTTCTTTCCTAAAGAAAGCCACATGATGTGGAGCCTTCTGTAGTATGAATATGAAGGGAAAGATGATGAGCAAAGGGAATTATTAACTAAGGAGTATACATATTGGCTAAGCTTACAATGCAGTCTATGTGGTTAGGGCAACTATTCAAGGACTAATGTTTTACATATATTATTGTTAAAGTTTGAAAATAGCATTCTTTAGCTATACTTTCTAAGATAAGCGGAACTAAGTCAGAGTTTCTTGGGCTATCTGTCTATTTGTGAGGCCGTCTAGAAAGTACTTTCCTTGTTCATGTAGACCCAACCGAAAGTGCTTTGTGTTTTTAGTTACATATTCAGGCTCTTAGGAGCTATACTAGAAAGATAAGTTTCTGGATACCAATGGTTTCATTTTATTCAACAATTTAAAAAATTAACAAGCATATATTTTTAAGGGCTTACTGGGCTTAATTACAATATTCAGGGTAATTTAATATATTTTATTGTATTTACTACTCATAATAACCTGAAAATAAGTATATTGTATATGCAGTGCTTTCTTCAGTCCTTTTCTAAATTTCAAAAGTGAAAATAATGCATTGAGGCAAAAAAAGTGATGGAGTGGAATTTGAACCTGCATTCATTTAACAACAACGTTCATGTTTTTGAACATCTAGGAACCTCTTATTTTTACTTTACGTCAGGTTGGGCATGTTAACCTAATTGAAAAATAGGCCATAGTGCCTTTGGTTGCATATTCTGTGTCTCTCTGTTTTAAATATGCATATTCACAGAACTACACCCTTTAACTTCTTATTAATGCATTTTATGTCCAAAATCACTATTTTTAAAAATTTTGCGTAAGTCAAGAGTAACTAAACTTCTGTTGTTGCAATAAGCCTTAAACAGTAAGAGTCTCTTCTTTTCCTATCTAGATATGGAGTTTTATTAAAATAACATTTGGAAAATTCTTTGGTTTGGTCAGAAAGAGAAAGACTTCTTGAAGCTGGAACTGTTCATTTTATAGTTAGCTAAGAAGTTTTAAAGGGGATGCTTCTAATTTTCCTACTGATTCTCTTCTTTAAATGATGAAAACACTTTAGAAAGTCTAAACATGCAGATACAAGATTCTGATATACGTTCCATCACTTATGTAATTTCTCATCTTCTCCAGTGCTCTGTGTCATAAAAAAACCTCTTTAGATGTATATATTCCCATCCAAATTTCAGGGGTCAACATTAAACTTCTAAAAAGAATATGTAGTCTTTAAAAAAATTAACTTAGATAAACCATACTAGACGACTCTGGATCATTCTGTCTGTTGGATGTAGCACACACACTATCCATGTTTCAAATAAACAAGGTACAAGAAGTTGCCAATTCACAATTTTTATGTCCTTGAAAGTTTGTTTATGAGTTGGTTACTTGGAACATGCGTTCCCATAGGACTAATGATACAAACGGTAGTTAGAGTCTTGCACAAGTCCGTCAAAGGCTGTTAACCCAATATCTAGCTAAAATACAAATATTTGATGTAAAATGTGTAAAGACCAGTATGGTTCCCATAGTAATCAGTTAGAAGAAAATCATGGCATTAATGTGTTTTTAATTTTGAATGTTACTGTTTGAGGGAAAGAAGCTATAATTGAAGGACAAGGAAAAGCTGGAGAGAAAATTTCGAGGTATTTTTAGAATACCTTCAGATACTTTAGGTATTTTGAGAAGTTGTAGATATGACATGGGATTTTTCAATTATGTTCAGTTTTACTTCCATACTGTGGCTTCCCTTTTCTCAATTCAATTTTATCATATGAACTGCTTTTAAATCATGAGTAAAGTCATAACATAAACTCACAGATGGAATTAAAAGTGGGAGAGAGAATTTACTGAGATAACGATAAAGGGGTCAGAAGAGAGAAAAATGATAAGGGATTATAATGAATTTGAGCACATGTGTCTGAGTAAGTTCCTTTTGGAGAAATTAACTGAATAAGAAAGAGGTCATAGGTAAAAGGGAATTGGGGAGCATAGTAAAAACAGGGAAGTAGGGTGTGAGGCAGAGGTATAGGGTCGAACAGGTTTGTGTGCCGACTACCACTTGTAGGTACTGGCAAGAATGAGAAGCTTTCCATGGGAGAGAGATTGAGGAAGCGC